GTGAAATTGCTTACAAGTCAAACTCATTATTTACTTTTTTCCTCCTGTACTAATAAAAAAATCAAAATAATGATTCACTGTAAAAATTTGGAATTCTAATCCATGATGAATATGAAATATTTAGATGCAAGCAAGTAATGCAATTAAACCAGTTAATTTTATCACTATGGGCAAAAAAAATAATATTGTGTGTACCTAAAACAGTTTGAAGATGCAGTTCTTGAATCATATTGACACTCAGGAGTTGCATTTATTATGATGTATTATAGAAAATGAGTGGAACTTATGACCTTAAAAGAATCGAGACTTTTATGATGATTTACCTGTTTTCAAGACTTAGTGTTTAATTAGCTTAACACATAGTAGCATTGAATTGCTAAAATATTACTTTTAAAATTATCCCCAAACATTTCAACAGTTGACTGGCCTAAATTCCACCAATCGATTGCTAAACATAAAGAAACCTGTATTAGTCTGATAATGCTAACTTTCAGTGAATCTATTCAAGTTTTTTTTTATGAACAAAACATCCAGATTTGACACAGAGATTTCCTGCCCCCGCTGTTAACCAGCATATGCCAGTTGGCCTGTTATTTCGATGCACTTTGATCAGAGTGATACAAAAAAGGTAACCAGTCTTATCCTACTTGGGAAACAACAATAAAAAGAATAAAGTCTTTGTATTTCAACCTCCTTCATTTACGTGGAGAAGTGATTCCCTGCTGTCCTCTAGGTAATATTGTTGCCAAGACTCCAAGCCATCTCTTAGCCATAAGGGACCGAGAGGTCGAAGCAGTGCAGCAGGTGACTGCTTTTTAGCCAAGGGACAATCCTGACTCACACTTGTAGACTGCTCTCAATATCTGCACTCATAATTATACAGAACAATTCTATGGGAACATACACATCGTTCTACTAGTCAACAGAACATGATACAGTCGTTAACAGACTAAAAGAGCTCTTGCTTTTTGATCCAAACTGCATTATGCCTCCAAAATGAACTGCACAGACAAACACTAGAGCGCAATCCTCCTGAGGCATATGACAATCTGTGAGCAGAAAGGGTCAGCAGCAATATGTCATTTCCCCCCTTATCAATCCCAAGAAGAGATAGAAAAGCAGTGAATTAACTTTTTTCCCCATAGTAACAGCCACAGAGGCACTGATGTAGAGTGCTCATTTTCCTAGATTTAGGACTTCTGAGAGTGCATTGCATGACTGCAACCTGTATAGCCAGAAAAGAAACAAGCTGTTCTATTTCAGCAATATTAAGCTTACTCACATTTCAAAGTTAATATTCAGACACCAAATAACTTTTAAGGAAAAAGCTTATTCTGAAAACACGTAATACTGATTAATAGTAGTGGCACAAACACCAATAGATGAGAAGTTATAGGAGACTAAAGCTTTCAGTTTAACATGCACTGAATTTTTAACATTATTTAAAAACAAACAGAGACGACTGACAAAAATCCTAAGGACAGAGTCCTCTCTACACTCCAACTTCTAGTTGCAGGAGAATTTACCTGGTAAAAGCTTTCAGAATGGCTGCAACATTCTTGCAGTATTCTTGAACTATTCTTCACAGTGCCATAGTATTTTGGATATTATTAAAATAAATTAATATGATGAAATTCATTTTTTTAACATCCCCACTATAAGCAACCAACTCAAAAGACAATCAATATGGTCATGATACCTTTGGTCAAACAGTTCAAGTGTCTGCACTGCGAAGGTGATCTGGGGGCCCAGAGAGAACTTACAGGTTAAAGCTGTCATGTCTCTACTTCTTGTCCATCACAATCTTGTACATGGATTAGGCTTGAAATTAACACTTTTAATAGCAGTAGATCTTCCCTCACAAAAAGCTTGGAAAGATGTTACCTGTATTGCATGGATTATAACTGCACTTTCCTGGGCAAGCTAATGGGGATAGTTCCCAATTCTCTTAAGTCGCCCACTGCTACTAGCTCAAGACTTCATTAACAGTGAGTGTGGGTCACTGAAGAAGATTTAT